AGGCACGATCGGCAATTCACACAGGCTATTTACCCGAAAGCTAAGTATGTACTATAATAACTATATATTTTTGTTTTGCCTGACACTGCCCTAGATATTAAATGCCTTTAACAAGAAGATGTTCATATGTACTAAAAGCAACTAATGGGTTGTAGAAAAAGCATTTATTATTTAGAGTAAGGCACTCTGCTCATTAACCGCCTTATCTTAGTACATAGTGCAATCGTTTCGGTATACTAGTGTATGCAGCTTTTGCATCGTACACACGTTTTCAATGAAGCTCTGTATATTACGATTCACCTTCATATTTTCGCCTAATCATAAAAGTTGCATGAACCGAAAAGCCCAACATTTACCTTTACATTAACAATAAACAGATTTGATTCAACACATATTTCTTTCTAACGTTTATTCCACAGTCTTTATGGCGTACTCGATAAAACCGTATCGAAAAGTAAACAAACTCCGTTAGTTTAATAATAAATATGCGCCGTGGACCGAAATGGAAGCGAACAGTAACGGTATAAACAAGCTAATTTTAGGGTGCTTACATTTTTGTGTTGTTGAATAAAAAATACTTATTTTGAAATTTTTTGTCATTTATAGCATTTTCATTGTAAATGAAACTTTTTCAAGTTAAATGAAACCCTTTTCAAACAAAGCGAAACCTTTTTCAAATTAAATTAATCCTTTTTCAGGTGAAGCGAAATCACTTTCAAATGAAATGAAACCTTTTTCAGACAAAGCGAAACCTTTTTCAGATTCAATGAAACTTTCTCCAAATTAAATGAAACTTCACATTTTGAGAATGTTTCATTGAAATCGAAAAAAGTTCCGTTAATTTAGATAAAGTTTCATTGAATCTGAAAAAGGTTTAGTTTAATTTGAAAAAGGTTTCGCTTTGTTTGGAAAAGTTTTCATTTAATTTGAAAATAGTTTCGCTTAACCTGAAAAAGGTTTCATTTAATTTTAAAAAGGTTTCACATAATTTGAAAATAGTTTCATTTAAACTGAAAAATGTTATAAATAGAAAATGATTGAATACACTTAGGTCTCTTTTTATGCGGCTTTTTTTTATTTGTTTGCGGTTTTTCAAACCATTATTTCGCAGTAGCTATTTTGTTTTTTGAGAGTTTTTATTACTTTTTTCAGTGTGTTAGAGGCAATGCTTCTGAAAAATAATTTGTCTGTGTATTCTTACATAATTCATGTATTTGTTGTGGTATTTTTATTTATTTTTGTTTAAAATACAGATAAAATTTTATTCGTTCCATTAATGTTCAGTTTTACATGGAATAATAAGTGTCACTGGATTTTTTTATGCAGATTGTTGGAATTTTTTACATGGAGTATCCGAATTTATGCGGTTTTTGAAAATGCTGGAACGCATCCCCTGTTTTTGTATGAAAGTAAAGAACTTTTTTATGTGATTTTTTTTTATGCGGCTTTCTGAGGAACGCTTGTGCCGCATAAAAAGAGACCTAAGTGTATTAATACTAAATTAGTGCAAATCACATGGAACCATCCGTGTTTGTGCTGGTGACTTATGAAGCGTGCGCAAGTGTGCAGAAATAGACTCGTCATGTATATATTCGTTTAAGAGCCTCACAACGATATCCCTACTATGGTTAGGCGCGTAATATGCGAGCTGGGACAATCGCTTTAAACCATGCCTCTTGATGGTAAGTTAAGGTATTATTATGAGCACGAAACAAATGTTGCAGGAACAAATTAATGACTTGCTGCTTACAATATGCCCAAGGCAACGTAATCATTGCATTTGTATGCACTTTCGTTGAAAAGCTCTTGAAGTTCGTCATTTCATCTTCTTCGATACCCGTTGCCCACGTTCCTTTCGTCAAGAAAAGATACCTATCAAGCGACATACAAATCCTCTTCCAGACCAATGTAAAGCACACTGCTCTGCCATCCAGTAATAAATCTAATCAGAACCGTTGAAATGTTTGTAAATATTTGGAAAACATCGAAATTTGACTAAATTTCAAGTTTTTCCACATCCTTCTTCGTCGTTGAAAATTTCACTTTTCTTCCAACAGTTAAGACTTCGATGGCTCCTTTGAATTATGATTGACATCTTCACAACTGAGGCCGCCTACTTTGGCTGTGTCGCTACAAAATGCATTTCTTTACTTTAGGTAACTTTACTAGCAAGACCGAGGGGTATGAACATGCAAATGCATGTACATAAGTATTGCAGCGTGTGAGTGTGAGAGCATATGCCATGACCCATGGGCCAATTAAAAGTTCGCTTGACTTTGTCGTAATACGCTTCATTTGATAAAGTTTCATGCATCAAAGACAGTGTTGCTGTTATTGCTGCAATCCATTGGCCTTTACTAAAACGAGGAATTAAAAGTTTTATGCAAGCCATTTGACTTTTATATGTAAATGACGATACCAACAGCCCAGTGGAAAACTTGATGAAGAAATGGTACAAAGAGAAATTTTAACTCAGCGGTTAAGAAATTTGTGCAAACAGATTTTTAAAAACAAGAGGACGGAAATAACTTTTGGACGTTCGAGCGCAATTCGAGAACACTTTTGCGTAGCAAAGGACATATGTAGTACATTTCGTACATTCACTTATATTTCGTATATTCATATAATTCAATTAACAAATAATTGTTTTCAGGAACTTCCGGCATCTGGTAAATTCACGTTTGAAGTTTTTAGACTAAAAATTCCTATTTTGCCTATTTTCGAGCTATTGGGTAGGTTCAGAAGGCGCAGCAGTTGAGCGCAACCGTTGCTAAAAAAATCAGTGATCGTTATGCGTCTTCTGAACGGCTTGATACATTAGCTGTCAAATTCAACTCTCAAAGGTACCCACAAACATGTTGTCTCAAATGATCAGACAAATATTACGAACATCTAACACGCAACTGTTCGGTTGATCAGAAGTACACAACAACGCGTTCGCAACAGTTACTGAGCTCTTGCGCCCTCTGAACGTGCCCAATGTAACGTGAAGAAACAAGTAACATGATTTATTATAACAATGCTTATTAAAATTATTATAAATATTTCTATTTTCTATGTTAGCCAGGCGCTAGTATTTGAACTTAAGAATCATTTTTTAAACTAATTTTAAATCAAAGAAATTTGATTCAAACTTAATATTTGAAGACACATTTACATATGTGGCTATCAGTGTTGCCATTTTAGCCGTTTTCCGGCTACATTTAGCCGGTTGCGACTGCAAACAGCCGCAAAAATTCGGTTTAGCCGGCAGCAGATTTGTTAGCCGTTTTGCAAAAAAAAATTAGCTGATTTTGCTCTTCGCCTTATTTTATTAAAATTGAAATATACCAGTCGGCAATTTGTCATCAAACTACGTACCCTACCTCGGAAAAGCAAACAACTTTATATTAGAACGTTTGCTCAGGTGTACTGAATTCTGGCAGTTTGGAAACGCGCAACACTTTTAATATTTTCATCCAACTTCAAATTTTTTTTTTTACTTTTTCAAGAAACAAAAATTTTTCTGCTAGTGAATCTGCTGGCATCATTTTATTTAAATGTCATAAACTTGTTAAAAGTGAAGTGGTCGGCAACAACAACGAATGTCAATAAATTAAACTACCTTCTGCTTTCACAGCTTTACGTGTTCATTTCTCAAAATATTGCCCTCCGACTACGCAAAAGTGTCATACTTTCAGCTAATATAGCCATTTTGCGGGACAAAAAGCAACCTACTAAAAATTATCCAATATTTATAAGAAGGCAAAATTGTTTAATAGAAAAGAAAACGCCATAAGTTTGTAATTTATCTCTGTTTTTATATTTAAGTAATACAAACATGACTTCTGCTGTAAAGCTTAGCTACTTATAACGACAGTTTCCCTTGTTAAACAAAAATATGGTGGTAGCTTAGCTACGTATAATCTTTATTAACCAAAAAATATTCAATGGATTTACTAGTCCTTCTATTGTAGGTTATGTATTTAAAAAAAAATTTAATTCTAGTTGAAACATTTTAGCCGTTTTTAGCCGTTTTTTTTTGGCCAATCTAGCCGGTCGCCCTGAAAAGTTCTGGCAACACTGGTGGCTATACCTGAGTGTGCAAAGCTGCTTGCTGCTATTCGTTAGTGTCCAAGAGATCCTAGGTTCAGCTGCAGCTGTGTGGCTTTCCCTAAATATGAAAGAGCATCCGTGAAATTCAGAACGACAGAATATTCAAATAGAAATATTGATTAACAAAAATTTGTTTAAAGTATCTAAACAAAATGCCGATTTGCGGCAGCGCAACATTTCTTATGCCGGATTTCCACTAGGCACTGAAATGGCAAAAAATTCCATGTGGAAATGAACTTAATGACTATTTTTTTAGCGTAATGACAGGAATACTTCTAATGCACAAGTTTGTCATTACAATTTTTGCCATTTAATGCGAAGTGGAAATCCAGCATTACTTTATCTATTCTACCATTTTCAACTTGTTCCCTAGGTATACATTCTTATCCAACCAAACATTTTCATAAAAAATGTACTATCTCCAGCATCAATTATTGGGTAAACTCCAAGAACAATACCTCGTAACATATTCATTGTAAAATATTAAATCTTCTAGAAAGAAGGAAATTTTCTTTAAGAATTAACAATTTTAGAGGCAACATGTTGTCACACTCTCCAATGATCAATAAATTTTGAATTCAAAAGTTTGCAATAAACGCAACGACGAAAAGTTAAAGTGGAGGCGGAAGAGGAAAACAGCTGTCCAGGAAATGAGCAGCAATTATGCTACGTACAGAGTATTTATTGTTGCCTCTTTCAATCGTTCATTCGACCGTTCAAGTGTTCGCTCACTGATTGAAACTCATACATATGTATGTAACATTAGGATAAATACTTCATGAAAAAAGGATTCTGCCGCAAGGTTATCAAAAAATTTTGCGAAATTTATGATTCTGATAAAATTATTTTTTCCCCAACGCGGTCTCATTCGTGAGGTGAATCGTGATAATAATAAATATCTTTAGGAATATATATACAAAAAAAAGTAAGTGCGCCTGGGCTACACTGTAGAAGTGAAGCTTACGTTACTTATCTATCTATATGTACATACACACATCTGCTTTTGCTTAAGGTTATATTTTTTCATTTTTTTTCTATCAATGTAGATCCCTACCTCTACCACTATACGTTTTAATAACATTCATGTTATTCTGTTTTTCCATTATCTTCATTATTACAAACTTTTATTTAACTTCACTTGTATATACTTTGCAATCAATATTTAACAATCTACCCGATGAGCTACAGACTTGAAACTTCAAACTTAGCTCAGTACTCGAGGACAATGCAACATAAAAGATGACTTAATCCGCTAGGTGGCGCAGGAGTCGAGATATTTGTAAAACCCGCATTTATAGTCTGATTTGGTTCGTATTTGGGTACATATAGTTATTACTTATATGAAAAGAAATAAATCCAAAAAAAATTTTGCCGCTAGGCGGTGCAGGAGTCGAGATATTTGTAAAACCCGCATTTATAGTCTGATTTGGTTCGTATTTGGGTACATATAGTTATTACTTATATGAAAAGAAATAAATCCAAAAAAAATTTTGCCGCTAGGCGGTGCAGGAGTCGAGATATTTGTAAAACCCGCATTTATAGTCTGATTTGGTTCGTATTTGGGTACATATAGTTATTACTTATATGAAAAGAAATAAATCCAAAAAAAATTTTGCCGCTAGGCGGTGCAGGAGTCGAGATATTTGTAAAACCCGCATTTATAGTCTGATTTGGTTCATATTTGGAACATATATTACTTATATGAAAAGAAATAAATCCAAAAAAAATTTTGCCGCTAGGCGGTGCAGGAGTCGAGATATTTGTAAAACCCGCATTTATAGTCTGATTTGGTTCATATTTGGAACATATATTACTTATATGAAAAGAAATAAATCCAAAAAAAAATTTGCGGCTAGGTGGGGCAGTCGAGATATTTGGAAAACCCGTATTTATGATCCGATTAAGTTCACATTTCGAATGCATATTGCTTACATGAAAATAAATAACTACACAAAAAATTTGGCAGTTATGTGGCGCGCGAGTCTTATAAATCATTACAAAATCGGCATCCGTGCTCCGAATATGTGTATTACCTATTTAATTGAATACATTGAAAATTTTGTTTGTTAAGGTCAAATCTAGCACGTTAGGTAAAAAGTGTAGCTTAAAAGCAGGGTGCGGAAAGTTTTCTTCGCATTGAAAGAAATGGACAGAATGAGGAATATACGGACAGTATAATATTAACTGCAAGATTTCAAAAATCTAAAAAGTAGAAAATAAAATTATAGTTAAAAAACTAAAAACACGCTTTTATTACAAGAACTAAAAAGTATAAAATAATTTATAGATATAGCGATTCCGTTTTATGTGTCTCTCTCTATATCCTTTCCTCTTTAATTACCTTTATTTTAATCTTTCTTCCCCTATCCTCATCTTTACTTTTATCGGTATCCTCATCCTCATATTTGTTTTCACTTTTACGTTTATCATTTTCTTCATCTACATATGTATTCCCCTTCACCTTTGCCCTTATACAAGTGAAGTGTTTAAATTTACCTTGGTCTACATTTTTGCCTATATCTTTACGCATCTTTATTTATGTTTTTATTGTTACCTTTGCCTTTATCTTTTTCTTTATCTATGTACGTATTTACTCACCTTTACTTTCATTCTTGTATTGGTCTTTTTCTGAGTGTTATTCTTTAACCTTTTATTAGCAAATTTTTGTTAAATTAATACCATGTGCATACATACAAGAAGCACTTGTTTCAGCCCCAACCATTTCCGTTGCACCATTCCCATTGCACCATTTCCGTGTGCAACTTCCGTTGAATTTACCAATTTACTCCCAGCCAATCAACCGCCGCTAAAGAAGTTTCACTTCAAAAATGTAAATACAATTTTCTGGAAAACTTGAAGAACCCGATTAAGACGTAATCAATTTTTGCGACCAGGGTACGAGTATTGTGAAAGAGCAACTTTCTTTGCTTTTTTTAAAACATAATTGGATATTTGCACATATTTTCGATAGGTGCAGTCGTTCAAGAACAAAAACTTACACGTCTCGTATATTTCAGTAATTGGTATTGGGTTATAAAGAAAATACCAGGTTGGCCGAGCTTTGCTCGGAATGCATACATTGTTTAAAGTTTTCAAGATTTAGGTATCAAATAATAATAATATTATAAATGGTATTTTTTATGTAACATTACGCTTATCTAGTACCTCTTTCAATATAAATTATGTCGATAACAAAACAATATTTGTAATGCGGTAATATTTTAGCCAAGTACCTCAGTATTCAATGAACCGAAATTTAAAAAAAAAAATTTAAAAAACTCTGTTAATTCATAAAAATATTTTTGCCGAGTCAGTACCTTGTTTTTAAAACAAATAAAAAAAAAATTGCACTTTTTGAAGCTAATAATAAAAAAAAATATTTGATATCAAAAATTAGGTGGCAACCATATTAAGAAATACGCCAGGTTGAAGAGTACATATTTCGAGTGCAAAACAAAACAATGCAGCCTCGTAGCCTATGCAATTCCAGTATAAGAGGAGGAAGTCTGAAGTAGCTAGAATGTACCGTTGATTTATGGTAATTTTTTTGTTGGCGGTGCCAGTCATTTTCTTTCATATAAATTGTCTTCGACGACTTGGTTACAAAAAAATTAACGAAACCTTCAACAAAAAAAAAATTGCCAAAAATCTACTGTACGTTCTAGCTAATTCAAGCTTACACTTATTATACGGAAATTTATTAGCATACAAAGTAGTTTATTCTTATTTGTTATATTTAATTGTATATTAAAATAAAAGTAGCGGAAAAAGCATTTTCATTAAAATTTCGTACTTTTACGGGTGCTAAGTGAAAAATGCAGACAGGAGGCTGAAATTATGCCCAAACTATTTTTTTTTTGTTTTTTGTGTCAATAAAGTTTTCATATGGGCGTGAACCCAGGGTCTGCGGAATGGAAGCGCGCACTGCTAGCCACAACGCGACTTGCGATTAAGTAAATCTAAGCTTTTTTGGAAATAATGTTTTAAAGTTTTATTTTTTTATTAAAAAAAAAATAGTGGTTTTTTCAACGCAGTCGCATTACGAATGTTCCCGAATTGAACAAATACATATCGATCAAGTTTTGTGGTTCTCTGAAGGAGAGAAAATTTGCCTTTAGTTTAATGGAATGAGAGGCAGCCTAATGCACATACATACACAGCCAATTGCTCTCAGCTATTCACTGACAAATAGAAAAAAGGCCAACGCAAATCTTTTCAATTGCACTGGCTTGACGTAATTAAATCACAATATGTTGTCAACGCGCGTTAAACGCAGCTCTTCCAATTTGGTATCATGCTCCCAGCTGTTGTCCAGCCGCCGGAGAATGCCACTTTTACTTTTACTGAGTTTCGGTTTCGTTCACAAATTGTCTGCTTGGTCAAGCACACACATCTTTCAGTATCGCTGAAGAGGAATAACGCCAAAGGAATTTGAAGGGTGGATAATTCAACGACCAACGCGCGCTAGTACACAATCAGTTTGGGCTCAACTTTAGTACTATTGCCGTACCCTAAGCGATTTCTTTTTTGCAAAGCTTTATTCCCACGTCATAGCTGTTAAAGGATTTTCTCTTTTTTTTGTACTGCTGTAGAGATGTCCACCCAAACGTATGAGGTCGTTGAATCATCCATCTTTCGATGTATATCTCAATAACGAATAAATTCTCTTTTGCTGCTTTTCTTAGTAGTTTGTTAGTGTCTTTTATCATACATTTGCTTCATTTTATTTTCATATGTGCATTTTTTTCTAACTGCCCACCGCCTGCTCATGTTTTATTTAAGTCAAGTTTACCTCTGCCACACAAGGGGACACGCCGGCAGATAAACAAGCATGCAATCAGGGTCACGTGGATACATGTGGACAATTAGAGCTCTACGACTGTCCGTTGCGGCATTGATTGTGGCCAAAAATGATTGACAGCCTGCTCGGGCGGCATCAACCCAACTTACCTGTCAAACCCCCTCCATCGCCATAATAGGCTGTTAAGTTGCCAATTTTGGCGGTCATTTCATATCAATCTTCGGCTATTGGGGCTATCCTTTGACAACGCTTAAAACAGACGATTTTACACCTCGAGTGTCGAAAATGTCATAAAAGGGCGTCTAGCGTTAAAGCTCTTGCTGATATTTGGGCCGTTAGATTTTCCATTAGACAAATAGTTTATTTTACCATACAGGAGCGAAAAAAATATTTGTAATGCGAAAAGGAGCGAAAGAAAGAAGCAACAAAGAATGATTACAACAAAAGGAATTGAACACCAAAGCAAATTCACACTCACATCAATCATCTTATGCAAATAGTTTTATTGAATTTCGTCTTGTAAAGTACCTTAATCAAAACAGAGAAAATAAATTATTTATTAATTCAGTTGATTGGACCAGATGAGAAAATTGTAGGCGAAAAAAAAAAATTTGCAGTTTGATGAAATGATTTTCCCGAGTCAAATTGAATCAGTTCCGAATGTAAGTATTGCAAAAATTTTATTTAAAAAAAATAAATAGTCAATAAATTTTTGTTATAGTTTTGTAGCATTTGAACCAAAAGAAGGAAGATACACCTAAATTTCTTTAAGTTGTCGCTAAAGGAACACAAATGATTAGAGTATAATATAGTTTTTCAGTAAGGGCGATGGCCGGGGTTATCTTGACTTTACGGGTTGCGCCTTCAGAAAACCCAAGAATAAAAAAATCTAGCGGGGCAAATTGTAGGCTCTTGATGGCCAATACAGTACACCACCATATTTTCAAATCGTTCAACCTGAATGTCCGCTGTTTGAAACGTAGCGCCGTCCGGCTGGAACCCCATTTCATCTACGAATATCATTAAATTACAATAAATCGGTTATTGAAATCTTTCTGCTGCGTTAGCCGCCGACGGTAACCAATCGTTTTTGAAAAAACGAACCCATAGTCGAAAGCAGGTGA